TTGGTTCCAGAAACTGCTGTTTTGTAACTGTTTAATGGTGTCAAAACAAACTCACATGATTCCTTCAAACAACCAGAATACACAACTCCTCTTGGGTCATTGCTTATAACAGTTGATTATTAATAATCAACATTGAAGCATTAAAAGGAATTAGTGCTTCATCTGTAAATCAAATAATTGAAAACAAATAAGAACATAATGCAGCTGTATATAGAACACATGGCACAACATTAAGTTGATCCAAACATAAACATATGGTTTGTGTCAAAATTGGCATTTGCACCATATTTAGCAATACTCCAGCAATATCACAGCATGGGACACACATTGTACTCATCTGTGGAATCAAACATGGACCTTACGTTTGACAAGGAAATGCTTTAACCACTAGACTACCCCACTACCCACTGGAACATGGATGGGGTATGTGTTCAGTGTCTAGGTATTACTGATGGGTCAGACATGGTGAAGATGGAAGATGGGTGTGGTATGTGTTCAGTGTCTAGGTATTACTGATGTGGTCAGACATGGTGAAGATGGACCATGGATGGGGTATGTGTTCAGTGTTTAGTTATTACTGACGGGTCAGACGTGGTGAAGATGGACCATGGATGGAGTATGTGTTCAGTGTCTAGGTATTACTGATATGGTCAGACGTGGTGAAGATGGACCATGGATGGGGTATGTGTTCAGTGTCTAGGTATTACTGATGTGGTCAGACATGGTGAAGATGGACCATGGGTGAGGTATGTGTTCAGTGTCTAGGTATTACTGATGTGGTCAGATGTGTTGAAGATGGAACATGGGTGTGGTATGTGTTCAGTGTTTAGGTATTACTGATGTGGTCAGACGTGGTGAAGATGGACCATGGATGGGGTATGTGTTCAGTGTCTAGGTATTACTGATGTGGTCAGACGTGGTGAAGATGGACCATGGGTGAGGTATGTGTTCAGTGTCTAGGTATAACTGATGTGGTCAGACATGGTGAAGATGGACCAAGGGTGAGGTATGTGTTCAGTGTCTAGGTATTACTGATGTGGTCAGACATGGTGAAGATGGACCATGGATGGGGTATGTGTTCAGTGTCTAGGTATTACTGATGTGGTCAGACATGGTGAAGATGGAACATGGGTGAGGTATGTGTTCAGTGTCTAGGTATTACTGATGTGGTCAGACATGGTGAAGATGGACCATGGGTGAGGTATGTGTTCAGTGTCTAGGTATTACTGATGTGATCAGACATGGTGAAGATGGACCATGGATGGGGTATGTGTTCAGTGTCTAGGTATTACTGATGTGGTCAGACATGGTGAAGATGGACCATGGATGGGGTATGTGTTCAGAATTTAGGTATTACTGATGTATTCAGATATGGTGAAGATGGACCATGGGTGAGGTATGTGTTCAGTGTCTAGGTATTACTGATGTGGTCAGACGTGGTGAAGATGGACCATGGGTGAGGCATGTGTTCAGTGTCTAGGTATTACTGATGTGGTCAGACGTGGTGAAGATGGACCATGGATGGGGTATGTGTTCAGTGTTTAGGTATTACTGATGTGGTCAGACATGGTGAAGATGGACCATGGATGGGGTATGTGTTCAGTGTCTAGGTATTACTGATGTGGTCAGACATGGTGAATATGGATGTGCTTATTAGCTGACTACGGAAATTAATATAATTCCACCCTTTGTCACTATTAAAGAGCTTAAATATGGCAATCAGTGAAAACAACGGAAATACACACACTAATTGTTTTGCAAGAATAACTGCAAGAATTACAAGTTTTAACAAGTATAATATTGTCATCAGTGTCTCCCACACACGTCTTTCACTTACCAGACAAAGGTCAATGGAGGAAAAAACATTTACTGATATGGCTAACAGAGATATGAATTAATGATTATGACACAAAAAAGTATAGGGTTTCAAAAGGAAATCTATTTTCAGTCTTGTTGGATCACATTAGTCTCAATTACCAAAACACAGAGTATTGACATGTCTCCAAATATTGCTAAAAATCTGCAGAAAATAGCACAAATGTTAACTGTGACAAATGAGGAATTGATTCTAGTATATATAAAGAGTTACATGTCCACCACACCCAAGCGCCTGGCAATGAGCAATGTAGCATGTGCACTGATGTCCTGACTGTTGCCATCATCAGCCTGACAGGAAGAAGACACATTTCACCGACATGCATCATCAGGGTGCTGGGCACAGCCCCGCAACCAATCTCCCAAGTATTACAGCCACATTCCCCAGATATACCATCTGTCTATGGACCACTCAGTTGCTGGCCAAAGCCTACTTGACTGCTTCAGTGCCGGCCATTCAAAAGGTTCTCACAGGCAATTTTTTGGCTCCCTGTTGAGAAGCAAATGTTGATATAAAATCCACAAATAAGATGTCCCAGTTCAGGTCATCGTATATGTACTCAATATGTCATACCTCATCTTTGTGACTTACTGTTCTGAATCCTCAGGTAGAAAAGATTTGGACATAGGAATTATCAAAGTGTAGACGAACAATTTATTTTTCAAATATGCCTGTGACCAGCATGTAATTAAAAATATTACATAAATCCCAGTGCTCAAGTGTTTCTGATGAATCAGAAATAAATTATATGATTGTGAGCACATTTGGAAAAAACTCATACTCATGATACCGATAGTGACACTGACAGTTCAGTTAGAGACTTTTATCTGCAGGTCCATCAGTTGTGTAAACGTAGGACAAAAGAGAAAAACTCAGAGTGCTTTAACCCAACTGGTGGGGCGCGGTGGGCGAGCTGGCTAAGGTGTCAGGCTAGTGATCCAGCAAGGTTGAGGTGTCAGGATCGAGCCCACCTGTGACCGGGTGTAAAAACCTTGGAGACAACTTTGTGTGCAGACTCTTTCAGTGTTGTCACAACCCCTAGTGTACAGTACATAACCCTGTGCACTAAAAAGAACCCACAAATCTGTTGGTATATGATCAGATGGTGGCTACATGAATACGTGCAAACACCCAGTTGCGGGTACAGCAACGTGCAGTGAACTTGGACAAAGCACTGTGACTATGTGTCCCAGTCCACCCAGCTGTGAATGGGTACCTCATTAGGATGAGAAAGCCACAATAACCTGGTGCGCCTTGTGGCTGCAAGAGTTGTATACTCCCCAGGGAATTGAGATTGATAATGCAATGTGCCGTTGAGTTTGACATCCAATGATCGAGGGAAAAATCACCAGCACCTTGAGCATGCACTAGTTGCCTGGATACGTGCGCTATATAAATAACATATAATAACCAACAGCAGTATTTTACAAATGGGATTTGTAACAAACTGCACATAATAATTAATTGTACTTACTAACAAAGATAGGTATCTTTTCCCTTCAACCCTTCATTTGTCAGATCTCCTCAAACAACAAAAGGTGTGGTCTGTTGACTACCTAAATCCAATGTTAGCTAACACTATGTAAAATATCAACATATTCAATTGCTGGAATACATTTTTCAAGGTTTTTTTTTATCCACAGCAAAATTGCCACATATATAACATTGTTTAAATAATGCAGCTATAGAGCAAATGTCGCATGATGGGGGGCGGTAGGTCCATCCATCCTCAGCAGTCCTACACACCCAGTAATGCTGGTGGTGTTTTCTGTCCATACTTATTCCACCTCTGTACAAATCTCCACTGTGGCTGATTACAGATTATTAAACGACAGAAATATGATATACCTGTCTGGTTACATGTTTCTGACATAGCAATGAAAATTTTATGTAAAAGACTAAATCCATAAGGGCAGCTGAAAAATGTCTTAATGTTTAACATATTTTCACCTAAAAATAAAAACCTTATAAACGAAAAGATCTAAACAATGTACAGTTATCGTGTCTTCTTTTACAGATACATATAACTCATTTGTCGTACATGATACACATGATACATAGTCACTTTAGTTTGGCTGATAGACAACTTTACAGATCCCAATATTTAGTTTGCACCGTCATTGTGTGAAATACCAAGAGGTTCCACTGACAAGAGGCTTGTGTTACCTTGAGGTTGTGCTGAATGTGGGCATGTTTCAATAGAATAATGCAGTCAGAAAAAGCATTATATTCTGTAATGGGTTGTAAGGTACAGCTAGTCCATGTAAATATTGCAATACTTCGAAAATGTCACTTTTTGCAAAATGGTGAATTAGAGTGTGATTGGATCCATGGGTTTGTTTTTGAAACGATAAATTTGAATACATTATTACAAATTGTGCCAATGTAAAGAACTACAACGTTGTGTACTCTGCTGTACTTGTCAGGAACATTGGTTGGATTGATATATTGTTTGACAGGCATGTTTTAGAAGCTGAGAGTTGAGAAAATGGAAACATCTTCTATAGGTTATTCTACTCATGAATGCACAGTGCTGTTTGGAACGTGGTCAAATGTAACACGTTATATTTAGGATTACACTTTCTCAGTCAAGTCTCATCTGAGATTTGAACCCCTACTCTCACAGTAAGACACCTAATACCCAGCACACAATACCAATGACCTAACACACATTGCCACTAATCTACGCATGTTAATCATTCTGGTGTATGCTATTGTTGTTACTGATGACTGTTCACCTACTGTTCAGATTCTATACCATGTTCATTATTCAGACATCTTTGACAGTGGTATCCATAAATTGCAGCCACTTTGGATTGATATACTACCATTGTTTTTTTTATTGTAGCAAGATGGAACATTATAAATGGTCGGCCTGGACATTGCATTATATTGTTTTGTTTGAAATAAGGCACTGTTTTTATTATTAATTACAGTGTCAGACTCTGTAAATTTAGTCTAGATCATTAGGCTTGGCAAACTGCTGGTTAAATGTCTTGAGTCAAACTTTATTAGGATAATAATTTGGCCAATACTTGCACCAATACCACAGACATAGTTTTACATGATCCATCAATGAATGACTTCAACCATGTCATGCCCATTTCTTCTTCCACTTCTTTAGGATGAGCGTGACCTTGAACTTGTTTGTGGTGACAGTAGCATGCTGTGTGTTGGCACTGTGCATGGGTTTTCCCCGCGCTGCCCGCCAGAGCTTCTTCCGCTGCAGCGGGTGGGGCGCGGGATGCACCAACATGGACTACAGCCAGACAGCTGACGAGGACACCAGCGACGCAAGTGACAATGGGGAGAAAGAGGAGGGCGGACAGAAGCTGAGCTACAGCATGCCCTACCTCTTTACATCAGGTGAGGCCACATGCACACCTGTGCTCCGATGCTCTGCTGGAGTACTACACACTACAAAAGTTACTTGGGATGAAAGGTTACTGCAACAATGTGATGAAGGGCATTTGTACAAACTACTCTACTGACAATGTAGAGAGGATGTTGCATTGGATACAGCACTTTTATCTGCATTCATTATACAACAGGCTTGAAGTCACATAAAGCACTGTCATCTGATCAGAGCATTGAGCACCTATTTATTTTTTATAGACGTCTGTGAAGGTTTCATGTTGGTTTATTTATGTAGGTTTCAATTTTTTCAGTTTAAGCTGTCATCGAAATACATCTCAAACTATCATTTATTTCTATTTGCTCATTGTTTGTTAACGTTATTTATACCACATCCACTGTAGTATTGGCTGATACACCTGAAAGTGTTATGGTCCGACTACCCTATATGACATAAACCACGACTAAAGGTTATAACCATCCCTGCCTTATCATGGCATTCAGTGAAGATCTATAATATGTCACACTGAACTATATGAGATGTTGGCAAGAGACTAAATAGAAGATTATCCCCATGTAAGTATTGCAGCCATGTTATCAGTGTGCTGATGTTGCAGGTCGGTCCTGGGGTGCTATAGGTAAACGCTGGGGTCCAGCCAGCTGGCACTCGGACCCCTATCTGAGGCGCATCCTCCTTCCCTACATGCTGTCTGCCAACAGTGAGTATACCACGTACAACAGTGAGTGAGTGAGTTTAGTTTTACGCCGCACTCAGCAATATTCGTGCTATATGGCGGTGGTCTGTAAATAATCGAATCTGGACCAGACAATTCAGTGATCAACAGTATGAGCATCGATCTGCGCAATTGGGAACTGTTGATATGTGTCAACCAAGTCAGCGAGCCTGACCACCCGATCCCGTTAGTCACCTCATACGACAAGCATAGTCGCCTTTTGTAGCAAGCATGGGTTGCTGAAGATCAATATTCTAACCCAGACCTTCACGGGTAACGTACAACAGAGACACACCAGGCTCTATACATGTTTTGTCAGGATGTATCGTTCTCTGTCTCTGTATGTCAGTACACAACATACACGTAATAGATAAAGCATGTGTTGTTGATGACAACTAATAATAATGATGACATCTACATCACATTTGGAGCGTTACAAATTCACTCATTATTATTATTATTATTATCATCACATTGTATAACAAATTCAGCACAAACTAAGATAATCTGCTGTAGAATAGATCTCCATCTACCTACCTGGAAACAATCTACTCAATAGCATACCTCTATTTCAAGTTTAATGTGTATCTTTATCCACAGACAATGTGTGGGTGCGACACTACTTCCCTGACGAGTACCTTGCCTTCAAACAACAGTTTGGAAGGTCAGCCAGTGTCCGGGCCAGCAAACAGAAGCGGGATGCAGGGACACAGTAGCCATAGCAACAAGTGACACACAATGCTCACTGTGGAGACAGTCACATGAGACTCCCTGCCGTCCTTCAACGTTGACCTATATATAGTATCACCATGTCTCACCCCACACACCTGGATCAAGGCCCCTGTCTGGACAATCGGTCAGCAGTTAGTAATATACAGATATAGCAGCTCTTGCTGTTCACAACATGACAAAATTAAGCCATGCGAACATGGAGGAATCATTAATTCACTAAAACTTTATTGCGATAAAATTGGAAGAAGCTTTCTCCCCCAAATCACATTGCAAACTATGTAAAATAAACTTTAAAAAGCAGTTTGTATTTGACAAGCTTCCAACCTGTACACCACTGTATAATGTGAACCCAGATACTTGATCATAAGGATATAATTCTGAATCTGTGTACCCTTATTTCATACTGCTAAGAAAACCTGCTCATGTAAAACAGATAATGTTCTGTGTACACCTTGATAGCAGCCTGTAAGTTAATCACCATATCACATCACTGATCCACTGACTGACTGAACCTGGTTCTGTGTAGTGGTGACTGTCACCCACATCTATCCCCCTGAGGAGGCAATCACAGGTACCACCTACAGGTTCTACTGGCACCGTGGACAGTTACAACCCAACAGTCCATGTGTGTGAGCACATACGCTACAGCCCCTCGATGTGTCTCCTGCCTTACACTGTCACATCTCTGTATATCCAGTCCATTTGTCTGTCTACCTGCTTCTCAATGTAACACATATGACCACTGTATCTGTAAACTCACATCGGACAATAAATAATCTGTATGATGTCATGCCTTTGTTTCTGACTGTTGGAATATTCTTTTCAGGTGTCAATCTTTCTATTTGAAGGGTCATCGAGTGTTACAAAGGGTAACAAGTTGGTTGTGATTGAGTTTAGTTTTACGTCGCACTCAGCAATATTCCAGCTATATATGGCAGCGGTCTATAAATAATCGAGTCTCGACCAGACAATCCAGGGATCAACAGCATGAACATCGATCTACGCAATTGGGATAAGATGACGTGTCAACCCAGTCAGCCAGCCTGACCACCCGATCCCGTTAGTCGCCTCTTACGACAAGCATGGGTTACTGAGGATCAATTCTATCCCAGACCTTTACAGGTCAACAAGTTGGTTGTACCCTGTCTGATCATGCCAACTATCAGCCATGAGCAGGACAACAACTGCTCCCTGGCGGACACGTTGACACAACCATCATGAACAACAATCAGTCCACTCTGTCCACTTCGATGGATTTAGTGAAGTGACTGAGTGTCGTTGCACTCAGCAATATTCCAGATATATCATAACAGGTTAAAAATAATCAGGTCTGAAGCAGGTAAGCAAGTGAATAATCCTTAATGGAGTGTGAGAATAAATTGACCTGGGGTTTGTCATGGTTTGCTCCTACGGTATCCAAATCTGGCAATTATCTAAACATTTAACTTATATTTTAAGATGCTTCGCTAATCAGACGATAAAGTACACTTTTTTGCATCACGCCACACTGTATTGATGTCACTACACCATTCTAGTCTGCCCCTCATTATCAAATGTACCCTTGGTAACCGACGTCATGAACGATGTCACTTATCATTGTACAACTACCTCCATGTTCATGGTTTGCAGCTGCTTCACTAGGCTACCATCACTGGTGAATGTCTCAGCTCAACTCACAATTAAACAGTGACATTGCAACATTCGCTAATATAGGCATTCGCTAGCCTATGTGACGTTACGTCTACAGTCCCACAATGTATACGTGGAATTTTGCATGACTGGCCAGCTTCATCTGGATGTAGTGCTCTAAACTTATGTTGGCAGTAGTAATGCAATGTTCATATTGCCCTATACAGTTTGCGATAATCACAGACGTAATTGAAGTAACATAGAAAAGATAAACATCTTCAAACTGTTTATCATTTGTTTTCCTGGTAATATACGTCTTAACATAGGCATTAGTCATCCTAAGAATGAGGCCATCCAACAATGAGGGTATATCTTTATGCTATTGATGATGAATAGTTTTGCTATGAAAGTGATTTTGCTATCTCATCTCTATAACCAGTGATTCCACACAACGTTTCTCTAATACTCAGACTCAAGCCATGGCTTTGTTGATAACGGATCCTGGGCTTTTACATGTGACGTGCAAGAAGGCTACAGCCACACAATTTCCTATTCTCACCTGTCATTTCAAGCAAGTATTGAAAGATATACCAAAAATATCCGCAGAAATTTCTATGGTAAAAATATCTCTACATTCCTACCACAGAATAAATACAACATCACACTTACCATTCATCTCTCTCATTGCCCTGGCGAAATCATTGGGGTCCTTGAAACTAACAAATCCATATCCCTTGGTCTTGTTGCTTCGTCGATCTCGTACAACTTTGGCCTTCACAAACGTGGGATACTTGGAGAAGGCCCGAGCTAAATGTTCATCTGTCACTTCATTCCCAAGATCACCACAAAACATTCGGAAGTCATCTGAAATAAAGGAGGATACATTATGTAAACTATGTTCTCTGAATGACCAAAATGTTTCAAAAGAGAAATGATTGAAGTTAGATATGAGCGGTTTATCTTGTCTTGGCTTATATATGGGGAACCTCTTGACAATAGAGTTTGGGGGTCCCAGGCATCGGGACTAATCCAAGATTGACTACCATTCCAGCAATTCCAGGACCTAAGTTTATGTGTTATAGATATTCACTAATCTTGTGTGAAATAAGCTGAAAATTTGGTTATGAGAAATTAAGCAGATTGACATTTACAACTGCCTGTTAGTGTTAAACATGGACTTCTATCCAGGATGGACTTGAACTATAGTACTGTTCTCTAGCCAGCAGGATTTATTGTCTTCTACAGTGAGGACAAGATACCACTTGACCATCGGTTATCATCAAGAAACTGAGATAATACTAATGTAGCATTAGTTTTTTTTTGTTTTGTGGCACTCTAGACCTGGCTCAGACAGAGCATTAGCTGAGCAGTTACAATCACTGACATCTTCAAGTCACACATAAGATTCTCCATACAATACTACCTGTTGCATATGTGGCAATACAGTTGAGGTAGACCAAATTACAATAATCAGCTATGTGATTATATTTCATGTTAGAGAGAGAGAGAGAGAGAGAATGCTTTCATTTGAAGAAAATCATCCTTGGTCATGCACAAAAATCATAGTTAAATTTTCAAGTGTAAAAAAGAAGAAGCTGGCCAGAAAAAGAAACTGTGTATTGTTGTATTTCTTTCTAAATTGATAAAATATAATATAAATAAAAAAGTTTCAACATAAACTTTATTGGGTGGATACTAAGATCATAAGATCACAGAGCAGCCTGTATAATGTCCATGGCATTGACCGTATGAGTCCTAATGTGGGATAGGCATCAAGCAACAATGTCATGTGGCTTGTGGGAGGGATTGCCATATTCCCTGCAAAATCATGAAGGGTATCTGGCAGATTTGGTACACAGCATTCATTTCATCCCACACATGCTCTTTAGACTAGAGATCTAGAGAATTTGCAAGCCAAGCCAGTACTTCAACATAGTTCTGCAGAAGAAAAGCAATAGCAAAACCCACCCAAGCTGTGTGATAATGGTCATTCCTGATGGAATGTCCATCCTGGGCCATGATGTACACAAAACAGAATTCCTACCATCCAAGAAACTGATCTTTGTAGCCCACACCTGTCAAATTGCCCTGAACACCAACAAAGCAACTCTTCTCCATGACACAGGTTTGAGCAAGACATCTATAGACATGTTGACATCCGTGTTGATAACGGTACAAGTATTTGTATCGAAACATCACACTCAGAAATATAAGAAGTTGTTATCCATATACATTGATAAAGTTTATTCAATATTGTACGTCCCAACTTCTACAATGTCACTCAAAGAAACTCCATATATGTTCTGATAACATCTCAACAGTGCTGAAATGGTGTGTTGGTGGCAATGGTAAGTGCACAGCCACTTGATGTTGAAACATTCTCCCACAGACCATCCCTGTAGCCTGATGACACTGTTCAGTCATGAGTCATGGCATGATGCGGGGTTCATTAGCGTTTTTTCAAACAATTAAGCTTCCCAAATTGACAGCAGTTTTTTACATTCAGGTGCTCCCTAGAGTTTATCGAGATGCACCTACATCTGTCTATGAGTACACATGTAGTACTTCCAATATATACCTTAATTTTCTGTGTTCACAAGTTTAATTTTATCATAGTCGCAAAAGAAATTGTTAGGTTACCAACTGAATACCCTCAATCAGTTGAAATTTTCTTATATAGTTTTTTATAAATCTAATTTACCAAATGATATGAGACTAGATAATTGTAACAAGTAATTTAAATCTGCAACAGCCTTTGCCATTGTAAAAACTCATGTAAAACTGTTCCATCATCTGAATTCAACCCACCTTGATCCCATTCTGACAGAGTTGGATCTTCCCATACTGTCCCTGCCGCTGTCCGAATAAACTTCTTCTTTTTCTCCTTCTTCTCCTTTTTCGAGCCCTGCACCATGTCGGCCTCCTGCTCCATCAGCTCCATGCCTTGCATGCCCATCGCCGCCTCCTCATACTCCATGTGGAGCCTCTCTGCCATGCCCTCCATTACCGGCATCACAGGCCCACTCTCGCCTACAACAGTGGTACTCTCTGTCACAGAACTCTCACTCTTCTTATCAGGCTTGGGGAACTTCCTCATTGGAGGTGCTGAATACACTACTTTAGGTTTTTCTATTGTTGCCTCTGATCCAGGCGGTCTCATCATCGGATGTCCGTGACCTTGGTAACCATATGGACCAGCACCCATTGGTGGTCCCTGCATTGGATGTCTCATGGCAGGTCCCTTCATCATCATTGATGGGTGTCCATAGTTGTGAGGCATTGGTGGTCTTTGTGGGAGAGGGGGTCTGTTTCCTGGTGGGCCAGGCGGGGCTAAGGGGCGGCTTCTCAGTTGTGGGGGGACAAATGCCGGTGAGACATTTGGGAGAGGAGGTGGAGGAGGCGGTGGGAGAAAGAGGCTTGAGTCTGATGATCCTGAGTTTCCTGTGGGTGGAGGAGGTGGAGGAGCCTGTAACACTGAAACAGAACATATCACATTGTATCTTAAAGGTCACATGCAACCAAAAAATCAAACATAATTAAAACACAATTATCACTTATTCATGACATATAATATACATTGCTGGTAATGAAAAAACATATAAACAAAATTATAAGCGTACAATCGCAAATCAAAAGTGCAAAATTGTGTACTTCGATTTACTTCCCAAGAAACGAAGCAGCCGGGATGCCGAACCCAGTCAGAGCGGGTGGGTGTGCACTCAAGTGTAACGGCTGGTTCATTTGCAGATGCCTTCACGGCTCATTGTGTGTGTATATATAGAGATGTTGGGTTTTGTAAATACATGCTCATTTTTTGTGTATAACATTTTGCAATCAACAGACATCATAACATGTCATGTGTTCAAGTATCACACCTGCCTGTCTGTGTAATTACATAATGTGACAGAGACCGAACTCGGGCCATAAATCAATGCATTTTGTTTATGGTGTATAGCCTGATTGGTGTTAAGTTCAAATTGCATGTGGTTAGTGATAGCAGCTGTGTATTGAATATTGTCATAAACAGACAGGCAGGCAGACACACAGGTGTCAATAAAACAAGACATTGAGTTTTGTCTGTGACAACGACATATCTATATCACAGTTAGAAATTCTGTCAACGCTAAATAATGACATTGCTTTTAAGTATCGAACTGAGAAAGTGACTCGGTAAGAAGAACGTGTGGTGAAATAGACAAATGAAATTACATAAACAGTTAATTTACTGTCATAACGTATAAAAAGCTCGCGCCTGTGAGATATCAACAAAACATTAGGAAAATAGCTCACAACAAAGCCTTCACCGAGTATTCACCTGACAACCCGCTTCCAAGCTGCGCGAACCTATTTCACTGCGCACGTGCTATGAGCGCAGCCCAGCTGTTGAAACCCGTTTTCCCCAGAAAAGTCGGGGGAAAATTAGTGAAACGTTTGAACTCCGATTTCGCGCTTTTTTTTTTATCGCGTTATTTTTTAACTTTATAAGTTGAATTTGCATTTTTGACGATTTGTTTCGGTGAGTCCACACTGAAAGGTATCAGAATCTGCAAAGTTGTGTTTTACGTTGCATGTGACCTTTAAGATTAATGGGAACTGTCAGGGAATAATAATGTCAGCCATAACATCTGGTTGTGCATAGGATTATTATCAAAACTTAGCTGTGCACCAACATCATCTTACAATCTGTCATCTAGTGAGAGAATGCCAGTCTAAAAAAACTCACAAAAAGTAGAAATGGAACTCTGAAAAACACTGAAAATTAACTTATGTTTTTCACTAGAGATTACTCCCTGTCTTGTAGAACTTACTTGACTAACAGAAACATTTTGAGGTGAAATTTCTGCATGTCTGAAGTCGCGGCTCTTTTTTAGAGAGAATGTGCTAGTCAAGGGGAGACAACTGATGACCGGCCTGAATGTATGCCACTCTACCCTCCATCATTGTGTCCCTTGCCAATTTTTTGTCATTATTTACATGTAAACAGAGAATGAATACATGTGATTAAGAGAATACATTACATACATGCATTATTGTTTGTGTGCCAAATAAAAATTAGATATTAACGTTATCCTGCTAACCAGAACAATACTACACATGATAATGAGATTTTAAATAAATAAGATTCTGATTTGATGCTGATGTTTTTGACAAAATAAGAAAAATACGTAAAAGTACTGGTCAATGGTCACAATACATGTTACAATACTAGTATTAGGTGTAAAAGCACCTAAAGTTGAAAGTTAACATTGCTTACCATCGAAAGAAGGAACAAATAGTATACTATTTTAATCTTTGAAACGAAGTAGGTAATGCAGTTGGGCTGTTCATATGAATCACTTTACAACCCATACTGCATTTGTTGCTCTGAGGTGATGTGATGTGATGTGATGTGATGTGATGTGATGTGATGTGATGTGATGTGATGTGATGTGATGTGATGTGATGTGATGTGATGTGATGTGGTGAGGTGAGGTGAGGTGAGGTGAACTTGGGTTTAACGTCGTGCTTGAGAATATTTCGCTCATATGATGACATGCATGCGTGTGTGTGTGTGTATGTGTGGCTGCTTGTACTAGCCAAGACTTAAGCTGGTTTTATAGTGCTAGCCCACTCAGACACATCATACTGACTCTGAGCCGACCAGTCCTTGTTGTACCCATTAATGCCGAGTGCCAGGCAGGGACCAACAAGTACCATATTTTAACGTCTTTTGTTATGACACGGTCGGGGATCTTGTTGCTTTGAAAAACATACAGTCATTACTAGTACATCGTAACAATACTAACATATGTGTACCACTGAACATGTTGAAATGTAAATGAATTGTCCAAGTCTTTGCAGGCTTACTGGCATGCAGTAGATGTGTGTTGAGGAGTAGAAATGTTACAAAAATAAGAATAAGCAGACACATAAACTCTGAGTGGTGCTCAGTTATGTATTTTAAACTGAATGAATATTACATGTTGAAGTGACTCTGAAAGTCTTTCAACCATCACAAACAAGTTTATGCTATGTTTTTGCAATGGTCATACAATCCAAGCTGTTGGGTGAATCCGCATGAACAGCTGAACATGTACAACAATGATATACAGATTAGTGAGTGAGTTTAGTTTTACGCCGCTTTTAGCAATATTCCAGCAATATTACGGCGGGGAACACCAGAAATGGACTTAACACATTGTGCCCATGTGGGGAATCGAACCCGGGTTTTCGGTGTGACGAGCGAACGCCTTAACCACTAGGCTACCCCACCGGCCCGATATACAGATTAGCTCACACAAGTGTCTCAGTTGACAGAGGTATCATCACAAGTAAATATATATTTAAACTAAAGCTGTAACGATTCACTCGCATATTCGGTGAATCGAACCGTAGCCCTTCATGAATTCAATTCGTTATTCGTGGTCACCAGAACCGAATATTAATGAATATTTACGATTATTTAAAGGGAGCATGTTTTACTTGAACCCTTATGTACTTGTTGAAAGTGAGATCTGCAAGAATGGAATATGTACTAGCTTTGCAGTAGCGCAAGTCATGTTAGTTTGCCAAGGCCGTACATGGTACTGTCAACTATAACTATTACATACCAAATTTGAGTGTCATGAGACGACTGGTTATAGCTGTGACAAATTAACACTGTCAACATGGGCGTTCCATATTGTACATCAATCACTTAACTACAATATTGTATTCATGAATAATTATTTGTATTCATTACCCAATATTCATGATACGTATCATATTCGCCTCATAGTGTATTCGTTGCAGCCCTAATTTTAACCTCCACGGTCAGATTCTCTTAATCAGCAAATTCCCAACTTTTTCAGTCTATTAACAGTGAGTGTAAAAAATACAAGTAACAACAGTTTCTGTCACAGAGTGATTACCATGATCTGAAAATCATTGTGATATAGAGATTACTACTCAAGAGTCTGTCAGATACCATTTACCTTACGAGCTTTCACTCGGTATATACGTCTTAAAATGACTTGAAAGGTAAATGGTATATGACGCTAATCTGTTTCTTACACACCAGAAAATCGCACAATTTTAACGTTGAACAGATTCAAATTTCATATTTTCTCATTGTAGTGGCACAATAATACTCCACACCATGTTCATGAATGAGTGACGTCACTCAGCTCACTGATCCTTCAGGTGACCCTCCACAAAAGAGTGTACATTCAAAGCATCTGTAATGTTACTGTAGTTGTTGAAATGAGTTCTGCATGTTATTATAAAATTTGCATATTAAGTGTCGGAGGAATATTTTAAGCAGTGACAAATGTACTGTGCGTGTAGATCCCCCACCATTTCATGTTAGTGTGCGGTTTATAACTACAGACCTCAAAATGAGTGGTCATGTTCTATCACATGGTGTTCAAAATGGATTTAGGAATGTGTGGACTAAGGCCTAAGAAGAGTCGACATGATGGCCGCAAGCTTGATTCAGTAAACAATTACACATTGGTAAATGTGTTAATAGTTTGTACTTTACTTCTGAGAAAATGTAAAAAAAACAAACATCCTACCTACCTACCCTAAATTTGAAAGAGGTGTAATCGGAACCACAACATTTTTTTTATTTGGCCTAAGCAGGTTTGTTTCATACAGTTTCTGGAAGATATCATCAGTTGCAGATTGGGCATGATGAGGTGGGTTACTCATACCGCAAATTGTGTCCTGTGCATAGAACTCAGGTCACAATTCACTATCATCACATTGTTAATTGTGTATACAGAGGCCCAGATAAGCTGCGTATCGGGGTAAAATACGCATATAAAATTTCCAATTACGCATTGAAAAATAATTGTTGCGTACCAATTACGCATTTAAAATGTTAGATACGCAAAAAGTTTAAAACAAATGCATACGGAATATATTTATAAAAATCGCTTGCGTAATGAAAAAGACATCGATTGCTATCAAGTTGTTCTGTTAGTATAGGACAAGTGTTGTACTGTCAGTATAGGATGAGTGATTTTTTATGAAATAATTTCCATTATATTTAAGTTGGTTTTGATTAGGTATAACATAAGGCAGAACATACCTGCTTAGTAAACTTACTCAATGACATAATACTTAGGTGAGTAAAATGACTGAAATACGCACATATTTGAAAGCAGTGGGTAACGGAAAATGAAATACCCACTCAACATTCATAATACCCACTCCAAAGACATACAATGGGTACAGTACCCACATGAGCTAAATCTTATCTGGAGCTCTGTGTATACATTCTATGCTCTGTGTATCACTGGTTTCCACTGGCCTCTATGTTTATCCCTGCAATCCTCTGTTAGCCCTTTATTTGTTATCATCACATTGTTATTCCGCCTTGCCTTGTTAATTAGTCTTGTTGTATATATGTCACTTGTTCTCTCCCTGTACCATTCTCACTTGAAAACGATACAAGAACCTGTATCGAAACATCGTGCTCTACAATAAAAGAAGTTGTCATCCATATATATATACTTGTTCTAATTCAGTTGAAGTTAAGCAACGTCGGAGAAATGTGCGGAGTGTCCTTAGAAGTTGGATGGGTGGCTGTGTTTGGCAGCTTGACTCCTGAGAGTTTTTAGGACTTCAGTCATGCCCCACAATTAAGCACATGTGGTCTCACCCTAGGCAAGTGAGTTTGTTCAAAGTTGCCTCTGTTCACCCAGAAGAAAATGAGTACATGGTGGAATAAGTCATGTGACTATAAATTTCTAGTGCCTAACAGGCAGTTTGGGTTATGCGGGGTAATAATGTCTTAGCGCCAGGTACATGCTTACGAGCATAGATACAGTAACGAACAGAAAAAATGCGACTTTTCACAGACGTAGTTTCAAAATTTATTTACTGATAAATTCAGTTATATTTTTCATACATCCACTCTGGATACTGAAGTTTACATTTATGCAAGTCAATAGTCTGTTAGTCCACCGTTTCTCTCAATGCACTGCTGAATACGGCGTCCCATGCTGTCAAATAAATTGTCTATGTAGTCCTGGGGTAGGTCCACCCATATTTGACTGATGAGATTAGACCACTCAATGACACTCTTCGGTTCCAACTTTTCTAATTTGTCCTTCATAATCTGCCACACATTTTCAATTGGGTTCAGGTCTGGTGATGCCGCTGGAAATTTCTGTAAGGTTACGTGACTCGTTTCAAACCAGTTACAGGTGTGTCTTGACTTGTGTACAGGTGCATTGTCCTGTAAAAGTTTGAAAGGTATTCCACTCTGTCCTATATGGGTTTCCACTATGCCTTCTTGTATAAGTTGACAGTACTTGCGTGAATCCATCCTTCCTGTAATAGTTAGCAGCGGCGTTACCCCGAGTTTGCCTATACCACCCCAAACTATGACACTGGGTGAGAACTTCGGAACCATTTTGCAGCTACGTCTACCTCTTGACCACCTCTTTCTTGTGATCCTATAAAATTGAAACTTTGATTCGTCCGTAAAAATCACATTTGAAAAGTCTGTACCCTGCATTTCCCTGCACCACTCGAGCCTATTCTCCATATGTGCTGTTGTCATCAATGGAACTTTCTTTGGCACTCGCTTGACATATCCAGATTGCTTTAAAGATCTTCTGATTGTCCATTCTGATACGTTAGGGGTTCCTTGACTTGACGCCTTCACAGCAAGCTGTTTTGCAGACCAGTTTGGGTAGGCCGCCCCGAGATGCGCGATACGTTGTCTGTCATTTGCCCCAAGAGTAGCACGACGTCCTGATCCAGCCTGTCGTTCTGTCCCTAACCCTGCGTCAAATTTCTTCAAATTTCGGTAAACAGAGGCCCGATGCAGTACTGTCAGTTTCACAAGTCTAGTTACGGATGTAATACCTGCTTCATAATATGCCAAGAATCGATTTCTGTTGTTTTGTAACATCATGGCAAAGCTTCGGTATCGTCTGCTAGCAACGACGTCACGTGATCAAGCCATCCCTGAACCCAACGGAGATAATACCATACCAACGAGGCAAGCTACTGGCGGCTAGAAACAATGTATTTCGGCATTTTTGATAGTAGGATCAAGTCTACAGAATATATTTTTGGGTTGCATTTTTTCTGCTCGTTACTATATGTGTGCATTATAAACATGCACTACTACTATTATTATATATATAAACTACACATTAAAAAATAATTACATTTCAAGGCCTTTTGAATGTTTCATTAAAATGCTTCTGTCATGTGAACTTCTCATCTAATATGTATCTGTTAACAAACAGACATTGTGAAAGCAATGACCTACTTTACATATAAATTGTGGCTAACACTGCCAACTTGTCATCAGTTCCATATAAGGTGGACATAAAACCAGGTCTTCTAAAGTCACTTCATTGTGGTTCTCATGTTGCATTAATGCAGGGTAAGTTATAGACCTTCATGGTTGTTGCAACATCTACTTCCCATTACCTAGTGTAATGAACATGATGAATGACAAGACTATTTAATCAGTAGTTCTTGACCAACTCATAATTTAGTATGATATGGAATGAAAAGTGTGATCTGAGACTTACTTGCTAGTGGTATGGAGGGATCCCCCTCCCCTGGTCCAGAGCCTGACAACTGGGCCTGTACCTTGTTGAAGGTGTTGGAACCAATGATCATACGGGGCCGGCCACCCTTGGGAGGCATGCCGGGAGTCAGGATCTCCAGTTCAAAGCTGAAACACAGTTGGTTAGTAGCACTTGTCACAGGTTTTTTCTTTTGTTTTTCTTTTCTTTAAAGTTTTTATTTCCCAGAGATACATGTTACATACATCAGGCACTTTGTATTGAATACATACATGCATACATACAAACCGGCTTTCAAGTCACCGTCATCATGAAAATGTTCAGTAGTAGTTTTAATATTAAAAATGAAAATGAAATTGTACCACTGCATATTGATATTAAACTAAAAAATGAAAGAATCAGGGCTTCTGAAGCATTATACAGGATACAAAGACAATATAATTAGTGGTCTCTTTCTAGAAACTGTCAGCATTATCAATGTGTGTGATGTGATACTAGTTGATCATTTGCATATTCATATAATATGTATAATGTACCAGTACACCTAAGACAAGTACGACAACCCTTCATATCATATCTTCAATTTACAACCGATATTGAAAAACAGCGCAAATCGTGAAACAAATTCTTATATACAGCACATGTATACTTCATATATTGCTAAAGTATGCAGAGGTGGTGTGTGATCCTGTGCATAGTGCTCAGGTCACAAATCAGCTGAAGTTCAGCAAAGTTGGACGTGGAGAGTTCTTGGATGGGTGACAGTGTTTGGCAGCTTGACTCCTGAGAGTTTCTAGGACTTTAGTCCTGCCCCACAATGAGGCACATGTGATACATGTGGTCTCACCTTAGGCAAGTTAGTTTGTTCAAACATGCCTCTGTTCACTGAGCAGAAAATGGGTACCCGGTGGGATATGTCATGTGACTATAACCTTCTAGCGCCTCACTGGCAGCTTGGGTTATCCGTAGGGTAATATACTACTGTCCAACCAACATTAGAATGAGGTGTGCGAAAGACGCGTTTGTGAAAGGAGAGGGGGGAGCGTGCTGTGAACTGATCCACTACCCACTCGAAGGGGGAACAGGTGTGAAAACTTCGCGCACGTGATTTTTGTGATCCTTGCAGTAATCTCTTTCTACGCAATGATTCGGAAGCGTCGTGTTTCTGCTCGAGCATTTGTATACTAGTATCTTGTAAAGTGGACTGTTAAAAGAGACTCAGCAGGTATTTGAAACTTATCATGTCGCACTCTAAATTGGGTAAACAGGGTCAAGTCATTCATTCACAAACACGTGAGGTTGCCTACAATGTCATTCAGTACATGTGTACTATTTCCGACAGCACACACAGTGCACTCAAAAAAGCCAGCGATGCTACTGGTATATCTGTCAGTACCTTGCGCAAAATAAATAACGAAGGTAAATGCGTTCCCGCGATGGGTACCTGTAAGTTCACAAGCCCAGGGAAAGTGCGTACTCGTACCGAAGGGAAAACTGAATTTGATGATTTTGATAAAGGCACAATTCGTCAGTACATTCAACACTGCTACACAGTAACCAAGACAATGCCAACACTGACAAGCATTATGAAAATGGCTACTGATGATTTGGGATATTCAGGGAGTAAAGAAACAATGTGTAAATGTTTAAAGAAAAATTGGTTTCAAATGGCAGAAAACTTCGTTTCAGACAGACAGGTCCTAATGGATTGTTGCATGGCGTTTGAGATATCTCAGAATGATTCAAAGTATCAAATTGTTGCAAACTGGTGAGGAGGGAGCAATTGGCGATAAGGTACCATCAGGGACAGGCAAGATAGTCCATGATGGTAAATGAGGGGTTCAACTAATGCTTCTTTTATTTAAAAGTGGTACCATGCGAAAGAAAAAACTTATTCCTAATCTGCCCCAAAACTCAGTAGTTACAATGGACAATGCCCCTTACCATAGCAAACAAACAGACAAAGCTCCAACAACTGCCAATCGGAAAGATGAAATCAAATCGTGGCTACAAAGGCATGATGTACCTTTTACACATTCAAAGTTGAAGGCTGAATTGCTTGCACTTGTGAAATCATGTCCGTGTGGTCACGTATATCATGTCGATGAAATTCTGAAAACCTATGGGCATATTGTTCTCCGATTACCTCCTTATCATGCCAATTTCAATGCCATAGAATTAATTTGGGCGAATTTGAAAAATTGGATTGGGTCCCAGAATTTAGATTTCAAAATAACTTCTGTACAGAGGGCTTGCGAAGAACGATTTTCATCTATTGCCAGAAGGCATGGTCAGACTGTTGCAGACATGTGATGGAAATTGAGGATCGTTACTGGCATGGAGAAATTGCCCTAGAGGATGAAATCGAAAAACTTGTCATCGAACTTGGCGTCGATACTGATGACTGAAATCAGTGATATTGATGACGAGTAGCAGATTCAAGAGACTTATATATAGCAAATAGCAGATAAACTACCACTGAGCAATCAAATTACTAAGTTTGGTTTGTTTTATTTATTAGTACCCCGTTTTTGAATTTACATAAAGTTATATCATTCCCCTCGAGGACAACACAAACGTATTATCCATAAAATATTCACACACACAGAACCTAGGCTAGGACAGAAATTAACCTTTTGGTATTTTTTTTTTATCATTTCGCCCCAAAAATTTTTGAGTGTTGTAGTGGGTTGTGTATGGAAATCGTCAACCGCAAAATAGCAAATAGAACCCGTCCCAGAAGAGCGAGAGTAGACTGACACGCTTCACAGCAGTTTATCGCTTTACAAATGGACTGCACAGCTATTCAGATTCACGGGTTCAAATGACAGGTCGGCATTATTCTTAAGTTCGTCTCACAGTAATAATATGATTGTTAGTGCCAAGATCATGCTTAATAATAATGAACTGTCGGTTTGTATGAGCTTCGAGCATGCACTTGGTGTATGGAATTTAGTGCTACAGAAGTACACATTCTTATTAAACCGGTATTATTATTGAGCTGTCTATGTTGCTAGATGAAAAGCATTTAAAGGCACACTGATCCAGAGCAATTCCCTAGTTGTTGCTTTTGTTAATGTTTTTCCCCTACGACTGCCCACATAATATCCCAGAATTCTTGACTGGGCTGCGATCTCTGCTACACCACCAGGAAGCGCAATTGGTTGTATACCAGTTCGCACCACACCACTTGGTATCTTGTAGATTACAGAATGGGACGAGTATGCCAAATGGCAGCAGGACCATTCATCAATTTCTGTAGATTAAAATCTCAAGACACTGGTTCATTCCACACCACTCGGTATCTTGTAGATTACAGAATGGGACGAGTGTGCTAAATGGCATCAGTCAATTTGTGTACATTAAAATCACAAGACGCCAGGTCTATCGGTAACCTTCATAATTGTCCGTGACCTATTTAACTCTTTCCGTTCATTTCCGTAAGGTCTCAGGAATGACTACAAAAATTTACACAGATTGTCACAGTGTGGATGTAGCTGAGTCGGTTAGCTGTCACACGAGAAGTTGTGGAGTTCTATTTTAAAGGTGCTCCGAAAAAGTATGAATATAAAAGTCTTTGAAGGCTAGTACAAAATTCTAATAGGCAAGCAACTCTAGAAAAATTAAGCCATATATATGTTACTGAGTTTGGTTGTGCACCGTAGTAGCACACCAGAAAGCAATCCAAGTTGCAACGTCAGCTGAGACTTTAATATCACATAATTGTATATAAAATATTTCAGAGTGTTATGGTTATACATGCAATCAAGACAGCGAGTAGCTAGATGGACTTGGACAGTTTCTGCACTTCTATACACTATGTTTGTCAGCATTTTTTAATCCAAAAATCCCAGGGCAAAGTATTGGGGATAAGTACTCTCACCCCAAGACAACAAGGCTAAGGATCGACGAGGCTGTGTATCTATTTCTCAAATTACTTGTTATAAGTGGCAAAGAGATTCTACATCACATAGTAGTTTCATTTTAAACCCTGGAACATTATTATGGATAACTACTTTTATTTTACACTGTTACACTGACAAGTAGCTATTTCTTGCAGCTTCAAGAGGTGAAAGACCTGACAGTGTATGGACATTTTACTGTTATGGATGTCATGGGGAATACTAGCCCTCCAGCTAAATAGGGATGTGTATGTAATATATTTAATAGCGAACGATATGCCAAAGACACACTCCAACAACCACAGCGATTTATAACTGTTGTCATCACGAAATAAAGAGACGTGTCTATAACGAAATTAGGTGACACGGATACAACTCCAGCGTGTGGACAGCTTGTTTTTATAGCCATGCGGCTCAAATCATGTAAAAATGAAATGCGAGTATATGTGACGATTTTAAAGCGATTTATATATATAAATACCGGTTCATTTCCGCTTCCATTTCTTTTAACTTCTCTGTGGTAAGGGACGCCATCGTAACGTTTTAGATGGTTGCTACTATAATGAGAAATGTGACATGTGAAAAGAACAAACGTAGTTAAACCGAAACAAGACTCGGTTAGCGTAAAGATTGTTTGGTTTAAAAAAAGATATGTATAAAATCAATGGAATTAAGAATCACGGCCAATAAGGGACTGGTATGTTATTATGGAGGAGGAGGAGGAAGTTATGAAAAATGTTCCATTGGGTTCAGGCTAAAACGGAACCACAGCAAAACGGCACCTGGCGAAAACAGCGCCATTCGGACAAAACGTAACTTCGACATGACGAAAACGGAACCAACTAGTTAGTCATTAGCTGATAATCGGATTGTAGAATCTTTACATAATAAATGCGCCCACTCTGTCGACAGTGATTGGAAAGGGCATCCCAATTTAGCGTGAAAAGTTGAAAAAAATCCAAACCTTTGATGTTTAAGTACCTTAATTACTCAATTGAAATCTCTGGAACTCAATGTCAAAATGAAACTGTATTTAAAACGCACGAATGTACTCATTACATGTCATTCTTCACAATGCCTCACCGCTGTGTTGTATGCGAGAAGACCGTCAGAAAGAACCAACATGATGTATCTTGTGACGACTGTGAACTATGGACTCATCGTGTTTGTGATATGGTTGTGTAAGATACAGTAAAAGTAATTATTCAAATATATTTCAATTCAAATTGTAACCTAAGAAATAAACAATAAATGTGTAATGGTGCTTTTTCTACTTTCAGTTGTATGAAAACTCCATGCCTGAAGATTTCTTTCGTCGTGACATAGGAAACAAAGGTGAGAGGCATCTCGTGTTTGCCACTGGCCGACAGTTATGTACACTGCTTTTGTTAATATTCAGCATACTTTATTTTGAAACATTTTGATATAATTTATTTATTTATCTATGTACTATTTCAGGTAGCGTATATGGAGGAGGATGGCATCCATAAGTTTGTAAGGAAGTTGATGTCGCTGCCATTTCTTCCCGCGGCAGATATCACAAGACTCTTCCAGAAGATTTCGGATCGGTTTCCCACCCATGGCAAGCTCCGTCAACTGACCGGCTACTTCGAGAATCAGTGGACCTCCCACCCTACATTCACCCTCGCACCTGGTCAGTCTTCAACATCGCGGTCAGGACAAACAACTTTGAAGGTATACATTTCATTAAAGATTATTATACTATTTTGGCATTGTCAAGTTTCAATTTTTAAAATGTTCTGGAAAAATATGTATTCTTCTGTTCAGACTGGCACAGGCGAATGAACAACGAGGTGGGAGAGCAGCCACTGGGGATCTACAGGCTCATCCAGAGTTCCACCACGTGTTAAATGGGGTAGAGGTAAGCGTGGTCAAGGTGGATGAAGTCTGTCCTGTAGCTGGAGGTGACGTCATCCGCCATGCCACGGCACGGAACACAGCCGGTAAAGCTCACCATTAAAGACAGAACCTGGATTCGTCAAATTGTATGTTCATTATTTATATATTATTTATTAAAATGTGGCAGTTGTTAATTTGAGAGATAATATGAATAGGTAATATTCTACCGAATACCATTGGTGAATAGACTCCTGAAGAACATCTGGAAACATTTTGTAAATTGTAATGCCAGTGGCATGCGATGAAAGTGAGAGAGTGAGTTGGGCTTCACACCGGTTTTGGCAAAGCTCCAGCAGTTTCACATTGGGAATCACCAACAAAGTCCTTCACACGTTGCATTCATAAGGGAATCGAACTCGGACCTTCTACGTCTACGAACACTTTAACCACTACCTACCAGAAGGGCATACAGAAGACATTCAGTGACATCGATAGTGAGATGATTTTTATGGAGAGGCATGTACAATGTGAATGACCCCATGACCCCACCCCCGAAGGTTTATGTATGTACAAAATGACCCCACCCCCCATGTCATGTACAACATCAATACTTTTAACGCATAAATATGAAATATATCTATGTACAAAATTGCTGAATTCCCCAGTACATAAGTACAAAATTGATGACCCCCTACCTCCCCAGAACAACATGGGTCACTCCCCTTAAAATCATCATCATCAACTCTCTCTCTCGTTTTAATGCATATTGAGTCGTAACTGGTGCCTCCTCCGATGTTGAATCTTTGAGGTGTAGTAGTGTCACAGCCTGGAAACGAGTCGTACCAACGCTCGATACAGTGATTAAACCGGCTGATGTATGCTTAAAGTAAACAGAGTCAATAGACTGAATTAACCCATGTGTATCTACCGGGGTCAATACATTATATATATAATATTCAGCTATGTCGCTTCAAAGAATTCGATGTGATGGTTGTCCGTGGTTGTGGTGGTGTATGTAGTGGCTGTTGTTGTGTGTGGATGTGGATGTGGATGTGGATGTGGATGTGGATGTGGATGTGGATGTGGATGTGTTGATAGGTTTGAAACATCCACAAATGAGCTATCACAAATATAATCTCCCAAAAACGAAACGCGTATAAGTCGTAACAATATTTTCAATAGTAAATTACGTGGATGGAAAATGTCCATATTGCACCGCTACATGAAAATGAAATCTACATGTTTTGTTTAATTACACTGAAACTTTGATAGCATTAATGGATGACCTTCGTCACTAGCGTTAGGGACGCTAGATATCAAGGTAACTAGGCTTAGGTTAGGTGAGCTAGGCAGACTGCTACGTCAACCAGTGTTAGGGATTCTGTAGCAGTTCTGCTAAGCTATTCAAGAAGAATTGGCTTTCTGAATGAGAGATCCTAACTCATCTCTCTCATTGGAAATGAGTTTGCAATTTGCAAAGGATAAAACAACCTCAGGCCACCCATTTCACTACAACTGCTGTGGCCTATATACAGATGCAATGTGATAGCGTGAGTGAAGGAGTAGAGTTGATGTGCAATATTGCAGCCATATCGTGACGAGAACAATTTAATTTATATCAATATTAAAATAAATAAATTTAGAACGTAAAATCCTGTCATTGAAGGACAAAAAACAACTAAAAGATTATCACAGCTCTAAATTTAAACATAGTACGCTATCATAAAACTATATCAGTATAAACAACAGTACAATATAAAACGGGCTGTAGATCACTGAAGGCTGATCACCATGCTAGGAGCACTGGGGACTTACAGTACCTTTGCTACCTGCATGGACCCTAGCTGGATTTATGCCATCCCTTTAGCCGCTGGCGATTGCAGGAAATTAAGCCATAACTTAAAATCACACAAATGGTACGTTTAAAAATTCAGGTAAGTTGAAATGTACTTTGAAGGTTTTGGGACTTACGTATCAGTTGATGTGAGAGTTGAGTAAAGGGTTCATGCTGATCCGACTCACACATCATATCTCACACATTACACTGATTCCGAGCCGTCCTTGTTGTATTGCAACTATGGGGAGAGCTAGAGTCAGTCAGTGAGAGAGTGAGTTTAGTTTTAAGCTATTAGCAATAATCCAGCAATATCACGGCGGGGGACAGCAGAAATGGGCTTCACACGTTGTGCTCATGTGGGGAATCGAACCCAGGTTTTCGACGTGACGAGCGAATGCCACTGGGATGCTTACAGAGGCAAGATCCACAATGAGCATTCAAGACAATGAAAATTCACTTGGGCAAACGAGAACCAAGTTCACTGATCCTGGAATGCATTATGCATTTTACTGACTGACTGACTGACTGACTGAGTTTGGTTTTACGCCGCTTTTAGCAATATTCCAGCAACATCACGGCGGGGGACACCAGAAATGGGATTATGCATTTTAAGGTACACAACCAAAGTCATAAGGTCTGTATAACAGCCACCACCACAAGAAACATATTTCACCAAATGCTTTCCTTATCAGTTGCTGACGTGAAACAGAGGGAAAAGTAATTACATTTTCTTTGCCGGTACATGTCTTCAGCATATTTGAAACCTAAAGGCAATTAATAGAAGAGGACATCATTCGTATTTTGGTATCCATTCGCGCATCTGACGTGCGAGGACAAATAGTCTTATTTTACCACATTTCGCGGTGCAGACTTTGCTTGATAATAAGCTAAAACTAACCACTGAAATGTCAAGATCTAAGATAACTCCTGTTAACTGGATAAGATACGAACACACCTTTGATGTTTGAAAATAACAGTTACTGTACCATTTCCCTGAAAGAGGAATTAGTTCAGTTTTAGAAAATATGAATGTTATCCTCATATGTTTACGCATGTTTTTGAGTGTTCAACTGTATTATTTTTCATATAGGTACGTAAAATGCCAATATAATAGCGTAAACATAAGAACAAGCATCCCATATATTTGATCACAAAAAATCAAAAAATCAGCAGTGCAGGGTCTGCAATCTTAATATAACATGATCTTAATACTGAGTCTCATGGTGAATTTACAACACAGTCACTTCAAGACAGTTACGATTTTATTACCATTGGCAACATAAAAACGTTTTGCCCTACTTTCATTTTGGGGTAAGTTCACGAAAAAATATCGTTGGGAATGTCTGCCGTGTTCTGAAGAGCCGATGCTTCTTCCCATCTGCCGTAACGACCGCATGCTCCAGACCGTTCAGGGCGGATACTCTGTAGTAAGTGACTTGGGCCTTTTTGAGCTGATCACTCTTTATGTACAGTTTCAGTGAATGTCGAAGGGACGCTAAATACAAGTGTCTTCCGCGATCTGATGTTGAGTCTTTGAGATCGGCAGATTCCATTGAATAAACATAAGACCCCTTGATGCATGTCCAGACCTCCCCATTATCAGCGTCACAAGGGGTGGACTCACACTTCTTTTTAAATCTAGATGTGTTAATGAAGGATTTTTCTCTCTCTAAAGAATATGCTTGTTTCAATTTCGTTTGTAGTTTCGAGGAAAGCATCGTTTTTTGTAATATGAACTGGTACACTGGCTGTTTTATTGGATGGAATGAAATCATCTTGTGTAGATATCGTGGCAGCAGCTTTTCGGCCCATGCTCCCGATGCATCTTTGAAGTTTTGGAAAAACATGTATTTTAGCTGAAAAGAAAGAAGTGAAGCTGTTATCCTCGTACCTGATACGTCCAGTCTAAAGAATATAGTTGAATATAAACTATGATAGGAGTAACACTGGCAGGAAGTCACTTTCAAACCTTAATTAACGACACTCAGCGAACATTAGGAATCCAAAGAATTCATACCAGTGAAATACTATTCGTTACACACTTTCCTGTACAATATCTACAATTTTTGATCAGCAGTCATGGTAGTTTTACGTTCACTGAGCAGCAGCAACAGCAGCAGCAGCAACAACAACAACAACAACAACAACAACAACAACAACAACAACAACAACAACAACAACAACAACAACAACAACTATAGTGTTTGGGTTGAACTTATACATTAGCTTTAAGTTTGTTGAGTAGTAGTTCTGACCGCTTGTCCAGTGGGAAGACCTGGATATGTTATGAAATATGTTTAACATGAGATATTTATAAATTCAATCCATCCCTTGCAACAAACCTTTGATAAGCATATGAGCATAGCGCCATATATGATGAACGAGAGAAACCCCTGTTATAGTGTAAATTTCAATATTTATCACCTGCATCAAACTATCTATTATTGTACATAACTACCATGTCCCTTCTATTTGCGAAAAAAAGACATATACAAAATTTGACAAATAGCCAATGAGGTCAACCTGTTTGTATTCTGAGCAGGAAAGACCAGTCACGTTGTGTATGCATCTCCCTAGTTCTGTGTCCTCATGAGGTGTAGCAGGGTTCTTCAGACAGCCAGAGAGATGGGGTGCCACTTGCCGGAGGATGGGGCCACTCAGTACAACACCAGGACCTCCCAAACAATAAGGTGTCTTTCCATGCAGACCTAAATGTCCTATTTCTTTTATAGCCCCAAGGCCTGAGTGTCCCATGTACTCATGCAGAGAGCTGTTTATAGACGTCAGGAATGTTTTTAGAAGGTCCGTATTTACATAGACGTCGTCATCCAGACGCATAAACCAGTGGAAGTCGTTTCCGTGGTGTTGAGACATGTAGCGGAGCATCTCAAAGCTCTTACGCTGTGGCGGGTAGGCCTCATCACTGACATTAGTCAACACTACCACCGGTAGTGATGTGTTGAAATCTTCACCAGTCCCAATGAAAAACACCAATTGACCTGGGAAATCTTTACCCCATGTTTTATAGATAGCATCAGCACGTGTTTGCAGGTGTTTACGTGAGGTCATGACACCTGCAAATATATGCCTCTCTGAGTCCCTCGGTAACTGTAGCTTCTTATGACGTTGTCCACTGCCATCTTTAGGAAGCCTGCATAAGGATCTCCGACGCCACCGAAAGACCTCTAAGGATGCCTGACTGGTGAAAAGGCCTATCAGTATTCCAAGGATTAGCTGCATAAGGACGCAATGTACTATCGTCCACGACGTTCCTTTACCCATTCTCTCCTCGTGGTTACAGTTATCCTGCGATGTCAGTATGAAAGCTAACGTTGAAACTAAGTGTGTTCCTACATATCCACATCGATAATGAAAAAGTCGTGGTAATCTCCACCTGCCGCGGTCAGATTAATTTTATGTCAAAATGTCGGTAGCTTATATATCTGTCACACTGAAAGTAACAGAATGTATACAATCAATTATAGATATATACATGTACGATACATCAGATGGCAAGATATTTTAAACTGACAATGGTTGATTTATAATGAATACATAACAGGATCATGATTATGCAACATACAACCATTTACGTAAGATCGAATAGTGCTCATATACTCATGCCAATAATGGTTGTCACCCCCTTCAATTTTTTGTATTGGAGAGGGTGTGTGATGTGTGTGTGTGTGTGTGTGTGTGTGTGTGTGTGTGAGTGAGTGACACAACCATTATTGGCATGAGTATATAATACACCTGACGCACTCCGCCCAGATGAACATTCACACAAAATACATACACTGCACTGCCAAAAAGGTCTGGATTAAAGTAAAGATTAGATTTTCAAGACATTCAAATTTTTGTACATGTGATATTTACAAAAATGTACTTTTTTGTAAATATTGGCAAAAGGAGATAATTGGTATGTAATTTTATATGGTTTTTTTACTGTATGGGCTAAATGAAGTTTTTTTTTCCTCTTGCTATAGCCGCGTGTAACATCGTAACGTTAATGATAATAAAACTTATTGTATACTAACGGAAAAACATAACATAAAATTGCGTAAAATAAAAGATATTGGAAAATTTATAAAATGACCCTAAAGAAACATGTAGCAAAGCACGTTGCATGAATTTGATGCCACGTATCGCGCGTGGCACGTGAACTTTGTGCGCAATGAACTTACTCACTTTTTAGCATGCTTTTTGACACCTGAGGTTCACACAGCTGATATTAAAAAATGAAGAAAGGTTGATTATTTAGAAAACATGTTTATTTCAACCTAAACTGCTCGTACGTCATGCCACTGCTTACAGAAATATAGTGTATCCGTTCCGTGGGTATGCTGGAGACTGGAATGGCCCAAACATAGAGGCCTGGCATTTTGATGTCCGTCGTCACAAGATCTCATCTCTATGGAGATATAAAGGAAACAGGGCCGTGGGGTAGCCTAGTGGTTAAAGCGTTCGCGCGTCACGCCGAAGACCCAGGTTCGATTCCCCACATGGGTACAATGTTTGAAGCCAATTTTTGGTGTTCCCGGCCGTGATATTTCTTGAATATTGCTAAAAGCGGCGTAAAACTAAACTCACTCACTCACTATAATGGAAACACGAGAGATTTGCCTCAGATCGGCCGTGACGTAATGTCAGCAAGAAAACCATATTCGGATGACACATCTAAGGGTTCGATTTTGCTCCAACGTCACCGACAGGCAATACAGGAGACAAGATTGGGATGGTGTTTTATTTCCTGACTAGTCGAGATTTCGTCTGGACAGCTCAGATGGCAGGGCAAGGGTGTACAGACAGCGAGGTGCCCGGTATGCTGACTCGTGCGTTGTTCAACGTCGACAGTTCGATGGCGATATCGTGGTGGTGTAGGGAGGTATCTCATGGCCGGACACAACTTGTCATTGTCAATGGCAATCTGACACGTGTGCGATGTAGGGATGAGATCATTGGGCATCATGTGCAACTGTTCATTCAAGGACAGAGACATAACTTCACACTTTGAACAGCCAGATAATGCCCGTACACATGTCGCTCGTGTTGTGAGAGACTTCCAGAGACAGCAGAACATTCCGGTACTCCCCTGGCCAGCTGTTTCTCCGGACCTGTCCCCTATCGAGCTCGCTTAGGATGAAATGGAGCGACGTTTACGTCAAGCCCAGAATCAGCCACTGACTTTGGCAGAATTGGGACAAGCGTCGGTTCAGACATGGAACAACATTCCCCAAGCTTTCTTCAATCACATAGTGTTGCTCCCCTTGCAATGTTACTGACTGGTAAAGTGAAAAAGTGTCTTGTACCTTTCCTCGTGCGATGCAAAGCATAAAAGTAGACATTTATGGTCTAATGCACGTGACAAATTAGCAGACAATGGTGACTGCGCAGGCGGTGAGATGTATATTACAATCACTCGAAAGTGTCGAAATTGGTTTGTGTTGATCTGTCGGTTTGACCCGTGTATCGCCATGTGATTACTAACATGCTCTAATGGGTTACGTATCTCAGTGGGCTAGCACTATGAAACCAGCTTAAGTCTGGGCTAGTACAAGCAGCCGCACATACACATAGACACGCATGCACGTCGTCATATGAGCGAAATATTCTCAAGCACGACGTAAAACCCAATTTCACCTCACCTCACCTCTAATGGGTTACAGGCCGGGAGAGCCACATTTCCGAAACAGATATCCAAAAATGACGTGGCTCTCCTGGCAATAGTTATGGTTGCGTGAACATGGAATGTGGCTCTCCCGGCTATGCTGTAAAAACATGCTTAGTGATTCTTGTAAACTAATACCTTCTAACATATTTTTGTATTTAAGTTATTCATAGATGGTAGGAGGGTAACGTTTCTTTTGGCGTTTAGCGTAGGAACGGTCTTTTACCGGTTACGGTAATCCATTAATTAATTAATCTATTGAAAATGTGGCTTTACCGGCTATAGCCATGTAATTGAAATGTGGCCTTCCTGGCAATAGTCAGTTTTGAAATGTGGCTTTCCCGGCCTGACACCCTCTTATGGAGCATACAGATTTAAGTGGATTTCAAAGGCAGTGAAAGCTTTCGTGTGGTCACTTGAAACTGCTGACAATGTAAGCTATCCGTTTGTATCTTATGTGTATTATGCTTATTGACAGTGAAATGAAATTGAGTTCAGCTCAATATTGTTCACACAGTCAACAAGCAACGGCTGTAAATTTCCCATAATTCCGCCACATCTGCGAATGACGTCTTGTCTGAACATGACTAAATCCATAAAGAGGCTTTGTCGCCATTTGTTTTAGTCGTATAGGAACACATTGCTCATGCTTTCAAAATTCTATGACATTTTTGTAATTAATTCTTTAACTTGTCCAAACATTACCCAATAACTCCAGAGATCGAGTGTGTTTTCGTTTAAATAAATGAGTGATTTTAAAAAGTCTGTTTAAATGATAAAAATCATTATTATTACATCAACAAATGTCGGAAGGTATTTTGCGAGTCCCTTTTGCACTGGGCTAAATTTACACATTTGTCATAAGCACAAGTATCAGGAGCTAGATTCAAGCAATTTCACCACAAAGTGGGCTTCACACATAGTACCCATGAGGTGGAGAATCGAACCCAGGTCTTCGGCGTGACGAGCTACACTACCGCCCATCAGGAAATGATAATATCCCACCAACCCAAACAGTCAGCACCTCCCCCTACTCCCCAGATCCCAATTATCGACTTCAGACAGTGCTTATTTCATCAACGGGGTAGGTGCACAGGCCCTCGTGTCTTTACGAGGATTACAGATTTAAAAAATATTATTTTTGAGATGAGCCCCGACTCAAAATGCTTCACAATACTATACATCATAGCAAGGCTCGACACTTCGATGTACCCTACCCGCCTGCTTTACCGATCGCTACGCTACCATCACATGCAATCGATTAAAACTTAATGTAAACATAATCATGGATGTCATGATGTCTTGTACTGTGAAGCATTTCGAATCGGGGGTCACCTCAATTTTTTAGATATTTAAAAAAATCTTTAATCATTGCAAAGACACGAGGGCCTGTGGGTAGGTGTGTTTAACAAACGGTTATTATCAGTAGGGGAGCACCATGCCCTAAAGCACCCGTAAAAGGGAAAACTGACCTATTGATGGTTGTGTATAAAAGAAAAATATATAAAGAAATAGAGCAGAAAAAGTTAAGGATCAAAAAGAATATCTAAACTTAAGAGAATGAAAGCAGGTATTGAGATGGGACACTCTATAGAATGAAATTGAAATTAATGGGATGACTTTTATGGAAAATCATGTACAATGTGAATGTATGTACAAAGAAGGTAAGTACCCTACCCCCCTCATATCATGGACAAAATTAATGCTTTGTAGATGTAGGAGGGTTTGTTTGTCTGCATCCCAGAGAGTGCCACTTATTCATTGCTTTCATTAAATTTGAATCGCCATCACGTGAGTTGACTAAATTATGAGCATGACGAATATAATCAAGTCCTGCTCTGGATACGAAAAGTTACGCGCGTCACCAATCAGCCTATCAAAACCTACGCAGCCATGTGTACCTGTTGCCGTTTAGGTATATATATTCTGAATATATATGCAACGTGTACACATCATATATACAGCATATGTCTATGTTTCAATAACATATACCTGACACGGAGCAAACGGTTGTTATTTACATATTTAGTGATATGACGCGACTTCATCCATAATATCTCATAATCAAATAACGAACTGTGGTTATAACAAACCAAAGTTACTTGTCTCTTTGAGTTCATTACAACAGTAGTTTGCTGTGTGTAGCTTACGTTAGCCTCATCAAATGCTCAAAATGATTGATTTTACATGCATTTTGTTCAATACTCCTTTCACGCAAGGCTGGTCCTACCAGGGATACTCTACAACTCTCTATATAGTCTCCCTGGTCCTACCGACTGTCTTTCGTTGACGAACTCAAACGGACAACTAAGTTTACTTTGTTATAACCGTAGTTTGTTATACGTTTTTCGAATGTGATATAAAACACGTGGCTGAGACCATCTCATTGTATATCAGTTCCTGCTAAACATGTTCGTGATAAGAGTAGTGTATGGAGTGTGTCCTGAAGGAACCGGAGTTCCGCTGCTCAAGGACCTGTTGGTGTTTGTGACTGACCCTCGGATTCCACCTCTCTCCACGCCTGCTCTTTCACTTGAGTGACAAAAGACACTCCTAAAGACAAGCAAAACATTCTTTTTGCTAATACCTGTGCAAACAGTCAGTCTCTCCCAATGGTTGT